CCTTGCTCATATACGAGCGTAGATTCATCGCGGAATAGTGTTACATTATCTCTTGTAAATTGGTCTGTGAACCACGCCCCGCATCCTCGGGAATGGTCAAGTGCAACCGTCCTTTCCCAAAACATTGGATCCCCCAAGAGTTGTCACCACATCCAGACGCCATACCACCTTCAATGACGACTAAAAGGTCAAATCCGCACGTGGCGTCACCAGATCAGCAAGAATGTGGGGAGCGATCTAGAAACGACGAAGAAGGAAGGAGGGGGAACAAAAATAAGGTGAGGAGAAGATGAGGAGAAAAATTGTTTATTCCTACGTTACTCTAATTCTACGATACGGGGAAACCCTCAATGGTACGATTGATATTCAACGACAGGTAACGTGGTCTGATGGGGAAATATCAGGAACATCACTTACGAATAATGCCATGAAACTGGAGAGATTTATTGGTACTACAAATTGCGATGGGGACTAATGTGGACATCGTACCCTACAAAGTGCGGCCGGACGGAACGCAGTCAACTACGACTGGAGTGCATATATCAGGTTATAACTCCACTCCAAAAGTCTAACCATACCAACTTGAGACTCGTACATGGAGACTGTCAGAGGATTTTATCGGTGGGTATGATTTCGGTTACTCCCTAGTTCCGTACTCTGGAGAATGTCCTGGTCTCCAGTTTTCCTCGGAATGAGGAAGGGCTGATGGATCCGGGGAAATCTCTGGTCACGGGATATCGTTGATCGTGATCGTGATGGTACATACATCTTGTACATACATGTACGTTGCCGGGTACCAGATTATCTGCGGCGCCCTGTATCCGATCTACCTGCCTGGTGAACATACTTTGTATGTGACCCGACCGTGGCACTGTCTAGTACACTGTGACGAAGAACTAGATACAATTCTCCATCAGTCGAGCATCATGCTAGGCTACGATTTCGCTATCATGCGCAGTATAGGGTAAAGTAGGAACAAGTATAGTACATGTATTGTGTCTCCACCACAGGATCCGTACATGTTTATACATGTATGTATATCTGTACGTTACATGTATGGATCTACGAGGAGCACATCGATGATGCTTGCAGTTTTCTCTTCCAACGTCTTTAAGGTACTGTCGGGATAGACAGCTTTCCCTATCATTCCGCGGCTGCGCTGTCCTACTCCTGTTCGTTACAACGGAGATCTCAGGCTGGTTGGCGGGAAATGTGATGGGAAGTATATCTGGAAAGTCAAATAAAGTCTCAAGGATCTGGAGGCTGTGTGAAGGTTTTTACCTTGACGGGTTAAAATATGATATCAGGAACATTGTATGCCAATCAGTGGATGCTTCTAAGAATATGCTTGATTAGGAAATGTATTCCCGTCGGTCAAAACCCTTGTCTCCTTATCTCGAGATATGACATAACAGGTAGTTTAGTATCAGAACAGAATCTAGGTATATGTAGCATATCATCAATCTTTCCAAATTCCATGGTCCCAACTTACCCCGTTCTTCATATGCCCCTTACCTTACAATTCCTCAATCCGCCCGAGTAGCCACTGGATATGACGGTAGGCGACCCTGGGCTGGTACTGAGGTTGCATGTGGCCGCTCTGGAATGTCTCCGCCCACATCAGTCCTCTTTCATAGTGTTGAATGCCCATTACTCCCTGACCGCTATGCCATGAGGAAAGATCGTTCTCTTCAAAAACCTCTGCATACTGGAGGTCCGGCAGGTCAATCTCAATCGGCGTGCTCGGTTGAGACTGGAACCCTAATTGTCCATTCCAAGTCATGTTCTGGATAGCCAAAAGGGTTCCATTGGTCTGGAGGATAAAATCGTAATCGCCATGACTGATGAGAACTCGGTTTGTGGCTTCGATCACTTGGGGTAGAACATGTTCGATTGGGTTGGCGGACAAATCGCCAAGTCTTCCAACTCCGGCGTCGCCACCAACGAAGACGGGCTGGAGCGAGGACATGGACCAGGTCATATTGGGTGCATGCATAGCTTTTTTGACATCATCGCGATCAAAATACACCGTGGCCCCGGCGGGTAGGTAATGAAGTTTCGTAGGTCCTCCAAGGACATCCCACGGAATGGGACACATCTGGTTGATGGCGTACATGTTGTAGCAAGGGTTAACTAGATAAGCTGCATCGGTGATCATATCAAAGACATTGCAATCAGCGTCGCTGGTAGGGTCAAAAGACCTCGGAGGCTGGACTCCCGATGGGGGGAAAGTAAGATATTCGTCCATAAAGGCCTGGTAGCCACATGATTTGTGAAGGCTCTGTAGCTCATTCATAAAGCTTGCATTGAAATTGAAAATGTTAGTGTTCTGCTGCACAGTTGGCACAGCAGACACTTGTTGTCCCACATAGTCAAACTGGCCAATGACCGGGTCGTAAGCCAGTGCCCCTACATTGTTAAACATCAGCATATGAATGTCTGTGAGCCCTAAGTCCCCCTTTGCAAGAGAAAGAGCTTACCATGGACGTCATAGTAATCCTTGTCATTTTGACCCAGCATTGCCGCAGCAATATAAGGCACGTAGCGCCCAGCATAACTCTGGCCGGTCACATAAATTTTGAACTTCTTGATCCCGAAAATGTTTTGAAAGTTCTTGAAGAAATTTACGAAGTCCTTGGAGGTCTCCTCCTGAGTGGTAGCAGTGGGTGTGCCTGTAGAAAAACCCGTCCCAACGGGCTGATCAACCCTAATGGTGAACATATTAATTTTAGCGTAGAGCTACGTAGATTAGAAAGGAACCCGAAGGGAGACAATCGAAACATACCACAACATGTTGGTTAAAGTTACCCAGGAATACGGATTAATTACTGGCGCATAGGTTCCTGGTTGCCAAACAAATCTGCCAGTCTCTTGAAGGAAACCTTCGAGGGAGCTAGCACCTGGGCCCCCATTAACCTCGATTGTAATTTCGTCTACAGGCTCCCCCACTGTCGGCTGGAACACAAAGAAGAGAGTTCTCGAGCTGTTGCCCTTGTCGATTGGCACTGATCCTGAGTACAATTCACCGACGTCAAACGGCACATCAGGCAAGCTCTCCACGAGGTAGGCTATTAATCCATATGCCTACGTCAGCAATCATCCACTAGGAAGTATGAATACATACGCCTCGTCTCGTCATTAAGAAATCGAAAGTTATCATGTGAGCGGAGTTGAGACTTCCCCGAAGACAGCGATGCTCTCTTGTCTAGGACCGAGGGTTCGTGCACTGGCTGATTAGAGCGTCCATGCTTTGAAGCACACGCCTTGTCGGTGTATAATGAGATGGCCAATGTAGCTGTCGGCAGAAAGCCTTGAAAGCGCATTCTGAGTCGGATTTGGGCGATCTGGCTGCGATGAACTTGAGAGATAAACAAAGTCTTTTTCAGATCTGTCGGGAAGAACGGAGTCTTTATTTATAGATATCCTGTAGGGGTAAGAATCGGATGCATGCTAAGACCTGTAGGTTACCATATTGGGGGCGTTGTGGAGGCCGAAATGTCTTTTAAAGAAAGAACTAGTGGGACCATGACGTTTTTGACAGGGGGCTGACCTGGACAGTCATTGCGTGAAAGACACCCAATAATGAGAGTGGCTGTCTGCATCTGGAATCTGGAGATGGGAAGTCTTATGTGACAACGGTCGGGAAAGCTTTGAGTACCCACCCCTTGCGTGACTGAACATGTCCAATTGCCATACTAATTGGGCGGCTTATGGATCTAGCGTATGTTACATTTTGATTGAACAGTAAGGGACAGGGATGTTCTTGGCATCGACAAGGCTGCTGTTAATTTGAGGTTAGTCTAGTAGTCAAGTCTGGATCCCATCAAATTGCTTTTCTCTGTTTGCACTCATGGCGAGAGTCACCGGGTAGGGTCTCATGATATATAGGGTGATGAAATCACTCTTCAGTTTCCCTCGAAGTTTGGTTCAGATGCATGAACATGTGTTCAAACAAACCATTGGATGTTGTGGATTGACCCAGACAGGGATCTCATGTGTATTGATCACGACACTAAGAATACAACGAGCGGGAGGGTGTCGTGGAGGATCCTCCAAATCTTATCGTCGCTTTTTAATTCGATCCGTCAATCACATTATTTCCTGTCCAGCCGAATGTAACAGCGTTCAAACCTTATCAGTTAACCAGTCCAAAGGACATCTCAATAAGAGAGAGAGAGGAGGGGTGCTATTATCTGGAAATCTGATTAGAAAGTCTGCCTGGGAACGAGTATGTATGGACGTATGCACATCCATAGTACATCTATACCTTGAAATCTCCTCTATTCTTCGATTTGAAGATCGCGGAATGGCCATTTACTTGTCTGAGTCGTTTATTCTTAATATTCTCTGTTATAGCATTATATCTCTCTGGCAATAATACGACAATTAGGGTATAAATCCTGGACGGATCGCAATCAAAGGAGACAAACAATAAAAGGGTTACACCTTCCCGTGTCGGCATAGTCACCTGATAGCCTCGTGAACAAAGCAGAAAGTGTTCAGCTGTTCGTGTATTTTGTGGATGGATATAACACAATCTACCATCATCCCTTCTTACACCTACCTCCAGGTACCGCTGTCAATACCTACGCCGACATGCCTTCCCTTGTAGAAGGTATTATTTCTAGTTTGTCAATGACAAACTAAACCTTCCGAAAGGGGTACCTCGAACCAGTTGAAAAATGAAAAACTCTCCGACAGCCGTCGGAGTTTCCTTCCTCATATACCCATCACGTGTTTTTCTATAAATTCTATCTCTAGGGAAAACCTTCTATACTTGGTCGAAGGGATGCTGCCAACCTCTACGCAATAACCACGGACCCCGGTGATATAGCTCATAGCTGCTAACAAGAGTATAATGCCACGCTACCACTGTGGCTTCCAAGAAAGAGGTTAAGAAACCCCATCAGATCTACTCCGCACGCGCATTGATGCCCAGGAGAGCCCATCGATATGTTTTTGGGCTCGGATGAAATCGACATGTCCCAGTCTGCAACGAGGCCACCCTGTATGGATATGACTCATCATCTACTTGTGGTCGTGGAATTGAATGCTGCCATCCTCTGGTGGAGTTGATCTTCAAGAGATCCGACTAATCAATTACTAGAACGTCGACGTTGTGGCCTACTTTTTTACTATTTTCGCCCTTTCACTATGCTGGATTTTTCTAAACTTTCTGTCCCTTTCACACTTTCCTGACATCGCGCCTACGGCCTTCTATCTGTTTGTTGGTTCACCAGGTAGGTTTTTTCTTTGTAGGGTTCGCAGGGCTGGCATATATGGGCCACTCCACGGACCTTCCTGATCCCGGCTAGTGCTGCTTGCCAGCCGCGGGGAAAAGGCTTTAAAATCTCTTAAAGAGGGAGAACAAGGAACAACACACCAATGAGAACTATTCCTCTTGGAGAACAGCTCGGAGAAAACTGACTCGGACTCCACCGGCCAAGAAGTCAGGTTGCCCTTGGAGTTAATTACAAGAGCGAGCGGTGGGCAATTTCTTTTCCTTCGGGCTTACCTACTTCAGTTCCCACTACTCTTACCCGAGAGTTGCTCGTATTTTCCTCTGTACTCCTCTTTTCTTGTAATCGTTTACTTATTAATCAACGTGTTTCTACCAGCGTTGTGCTTTTGTCTCTTTTGGCTTGTGTTCTGACAGTAGCGAGAGGAAAAGGGAAAAAAGCGGAATCAAGGTCAACCGCGGTCCACTTCCGCCCTATATCACTACTAACATGTCGACCGACGTCAGACTCCATGGCGATCCTCATACAGGCGCGATAGAACAAGACAGCTCCAGAGTTTCTACCACCCAAGGTGCTCTCCCGGATGTGGCAGTCCTCGGATTGTCCGAAAAACCATCGACTGATGTCCCAAATGCGCCTCTCAGCTCCGTTGAAGATGCCGGGCATCAGATTCCGCCAGCGCCACATCCCGGATATGATCCTTCACCGGAAGAGCAAACGACTCTCGAGCATGGTCATGACAGGCCGTCCCTCGAATCCCAGACCGACCACTCAGCGCACAGTGCCCCGATGAGCCGTGTAACCACTGACGCTGATGGGAATACTTACCCCGAAGGCGGGCTAGAGGCCTGGCTAGTAGTGTTTGGTAGCTGGGCGGGCCTTTTCGCCGCGCTGGGTCTAGTCAATACTATAGGAACTTTTCAGGCTTACCTCGACAACCACCAGCTAAAAGATTATAGCTCGGGAAGCACTGGCTGGATCTTTGGAATGTATGCCTTCCTCACCTTTTTCTGCGGTGTCCAGATTGGCCCGATCTTCGACGCCAAAGGCCCGCGATATCTTGTCTTTGCAGGATCAGTATTAGTCGTTGTGCAGATGGCTACTCTGGGGCTTTGCACCCAATACTGGCACTTCATGCTTGTGATTGGTGTCACCGGGGGCCTGGGGGCCTCGCTAATTTTTACGCCAGCCATATCTGCGATTGGTCATTTCTTCAACGAGAAGCGTGGCGTTGCGACGGGCATTGCTGCAACAGGTGGCTCTGTTGGAGGTGCTACGTTCCCCCTCATTCTCGAAAAGCTGTTCCCAATTATTGGATTTGCCTGGGCCACTCGTGTGGTCGGTCTAATCTGTCTGATTCTAGTGATTCTTTCCTGCCTGCTGGTCAAGTCCCGATTGCCCAAGAAGCCAGCTTCCAAAGAGAATGTACTCCCCGACTTCCGCATCTTTCGGGAGCCCAAGTTTGCTCTCACAACAGCTGGAATATTCTTCGTCGAATGGGGTCTCTTCGTTCCGATCAGTTATATTTCCTCGTACGCCTTGGCTCACGGTGTGTCCAGCCAATTTTCGTACCAGTTATTGGCAATCCTTAACGCAGGGTCGTTCTTCGGAAGATGGATCCCTGGTTTTGTCGCCGATTCCCTGGGACGCTATAACACCCTAATTGCCACTGTTGCTTTATGTCTTGTCTGCAATGCATGCCTCTGGCTCCCTGCTGGCGATAGCGTGCCAGTTATGGTTGTCTACAGCGTTATCTTTGGTTTTGCGAGTGGCAGTAATATCAGCCTCACCCCAGTTTGTATTTCTCAGCTTTGCAAAATCGAGAACTATGGGCGATACTATGCTACATCATACACGATTGTGAGTTTTGGGTAAGTCTAAGAAGCTCCCTGTGTCTTGTCCAAGCATGGAAGATGCCGAGTGTAGTAAGAGCTAACGACCCCTTATTATAGCACCCTTACTGGTATCCCGATTGCGGGTGAGATCCTATCGCGCTGTAACGGAGAATACTGGGGACTCATTGTCTTCACGACCTGTTGTTATGCAGTCGGCCTAGCCTGTGTTACTGCTGTGAAAATAATCCACGTTGGCTGGCGTCAGCCCTGGGCACTTTACTGAAGCCGGCACCAACTTGGAGAAGCTCTCTTGTGGTTCAATTACGCCTGAGTTGCGGAATGAAGAACCTAAATTTGAAAAAGGCGAAGCGAAAAAAAATTGGCAAAAGAAGTGGAATCTCGTTTGATTCAAGAATGACGTTACTACTTAATGATATGACCTTGAAGGCAATGACACGCAAAATACATAGATCTTAGCAAGCAAAGTTAGCGGGAAAAGTTAATGTCTAGCAATCATCAATTACATTCGTTCATGGAAATAACAAGAAGTGTCTTGGACGTGAAGTCCCGGGACGTCCAGCTGTGGCAGATGGTCATAACGACGCCTATATCTCGACCCCGGAGAAGCCTTCCGTACGCACTCCACCATTCCTGGAACTGGATTTTATCTTCTCAAGCGTTCCCGAGAAATCTGTCCGTCACAATGACGGCTCACAAGTGTGTCATGATCGTTCAATTCCGAGAAGAGGACACGCCTCATATGCAATGTTTGGTTCAATGACATACAACAATCATCATGAATGCATCTAGCACGGAATATTGCTCAAGTATTTGTACTTTACGATTCCCTTACTGCTTCCTCTCTGCGGCACATCTGCTGTTTCAGTCTCCGCCCCTTGTGTCAACATTGGTTGACATCCAGAATGGTTCCCGCGACGAGTTTGATTACTCTGGCTGTTGCCTCCTGGGGCCTTGTTTATGGAGTGACAGCTGGTGTTATATCCTCAGGCTGGATGCCAACAATATCAGAAATAACGACAAGGCCACGCCCTAGTTCGTCCCACTCAGGTACCACCGCTCCAGATCCGTCATGCCTATTGACCCGAGCAGCTAATCATTCAAATTGCAGGGCCCTGCTCTCCATGCCCTTCATTCCCCTCCTGCCCCGCCGCCACAGCAGTGACCGTCACTGTGACTGCAACGGTATGTGTCCCGACACCCACTCCTAGTGGCGGTGGAGGTGTAACTCAACCTCTTCCTTCCCCGTCTTTTCCAGTGCCACCCGGCACACCAGGAGCTGGAACTAGTCCAACAAGTGGTATAAGTGGTGGTCAACCAGGTCCCAGCCCCGGTCCCAGTCCCAGTCAACCAGGTCAATTCCCATGCCCGACCATCCCCGTGGGGCCCGGTGGTGGAGGTTCAACATCCGCGGGCCCGCCAGCATCAGCCACTGTGCATATTCCGACTATATCCTCCTCGGTGAAGCCTCAAACTACCAGCGCCATCCCACCAACCATCTCCCCCATCCCTCCACCGACGAGTACCCCAGTGCAACCTTCACAAACCAAGCCCATTCCTCCGTCAAGCTCCCCAGGGAAAACTAAGCCGATCCCACCCCCCGGCATCCCAGGAAAAACCAAGCCGGTCCCACCAACCAGCACGCCGGTGCAACCTTCACCTAGTGTGCACCCTACTACCCAACCTGTTCCTCCCCTACCAAGTACCCCAGGAGCAACCCTACCAGTCCCACCAAGCACACCAGTTCAACCTTCACCAAGTATGCACCCAACTACCCAACCAATTCCTCCGTCAAACTCCCCGAAAACTAAGCCTATGCCGCCACCAAGCACACCAGTCCAGTCTCCACCTAGTGTGCACCCAACTACGCCTCCGGTTCCTCCATCAAGCACTCCGGAAGGAACCAAACCCGCACCACCACCAAGCAGCACACTAATTCAACCTCCGCCCAGTGTACACCCGACTACCCAACCTGTTCCTCCACCAGGCACCCCAGGAAAAACTAAGTCACTCCCGCCACCAAGCATACCAGCTCAACCTCCAACAAGCACCCCAGGTACAACCAAGCCGGCGCGTCCGCCAGGGACTCCAGTCCAGCCTCCACCCAGTGAGCAACCTCCAACAAGCACTCCGGAAGAGACTAAACCGGCGCCATCAACACCAGCTCAACCCCCAACTAGTGAGCACCCAACCACCAAACCAGTTTCTCCTCCAGCCAGTTTCCCAACCCAACCACCAACAGAGACCCCAACGGAGACCCCAACTGGTTCACCTCCTGGCCCTCCGGTACCCACCGCTTCACCACCTGGCAGTGTGACACCGACCCAACTTTCATCCTCTTCAGAGGAAGGAGTGAAGCCAACGACAACCCTACCAACTGTCCCTCCCACAGAAACTCCGGAGGATGACCCTCCCGGTGATGATCCTCCCGGTGATGACCCCCCTCCTAAAACAACCCTTGAAAAGAGGGCATATCCCCGTTGGCACGCAAAGAAGGGGAAGCATTGGAATTTCACTAAACCCGAGATGGGTAAGCCCAAGACAACCGGGAGGCCTACTGAGCCGCACTACGATGAGGACGACGATGAGGAATGAAAAATGTAAGGTATCGAAAATGTAGTTGTTTTCTTCTTGAAGGTATCTAGGTGGACCAGATATGCAGACGCACGTTGCTTACAGAGTCTTTACTGTCGACCGTTTATATCCTTAATCTTAGTGGATGAATGGTAGATGTTTGCTGAATGATATTTCGTTTTTACTATTGGTAGTCTATAAGCGTCCTAGAAAAGGCCGACAGGCGTGTGTAGTAGTCACTTTAGTCGTAAGGTCTTTAGGTGTGATTCCTTTCGAGGACAGTGATCGCATAGCCGTTCCTGAAAAACAATTTATACACGCCGAAAAGAAGATAAGGAGAGTGAAGGGAAAAGTGTTGCAGATCCAGAGCTTCCAGGACCCCAAGTCAAAAGTTTCATCTGCTAATATGAGGAGAAAACAAAGATTAAATACAATACAAATAGGAACGGGGGAAAGAGAAGGCCCAACGCAAGGGTATGCGTGTGAGATAGAGGGGGAAAAGAGAAAGAATCTTTAGGTTCAGAATCGAAAGGAAATCCGGGTAAATCAATTGCACGATATGCAAGAGCATCCGGCAACCGCTAGGGCGGGGGATACTGGCTCCCCTCTTAACAGTTGCTTCAGCTCGCCCGGTATTTGTCTTTATCCCATGCCGCAGGTTTATTTGGAAGAACCCCGCCAGTGGTTCCATACGCCCAACACCTTACACCAGAAAACAGCTGGCATAGTAACAACCGAAAAAAAAAAAAAAAAAAACCATGATGAATATGACATGGTCAAACAAGAGAAAATATGGCCATATAGGCTGAGAAAGTCGACGTGGATCCAGTGAAAAACATATGCAGAGTAGTAGCAGGTTCGACTAGATCATGGGGGAATAATAAGCGAGAGACGTAGTAGGTAGGAGGAGGTGAGGTGAGAATCAAGAAGAGTTTCCCCGAAAAGAAAAATCCAAAATGAAACAAAGGCACCTTGAGGTCAACCATGACAAGAAGCATTTCTTACAGGCGCGCAAATGAAAAGGGTATATAAGGTTCGCATCGAAGCCACTTGAAATATGAAATGAAACGAAAAAGAAGCGAAGGAAGATCCCTAGAACGTTTCACGAGCTATTGGACCGCAACAATGCCTGCTCATTTGTTAGATTAGCACGCTTGCTCAGGCGTGGGATGATGGAAGATTCAATTGACTTACCCGCTCCATGGAAAGATCCTCAGCCTTCTCGACACTGGGGCTTGCAAGGCTACCCCGGTTGACGGTGCTTGATGCAGTGATAGATCTACCTTCCATGCCCGGGCGTGGGCCTTTGCCGTCGGAGCCGTGATGAACCGGATGCATCTCGCCGCTACTTGAGATTCGCGATTCCTTGCTCTTCTCTAAAAGCGAACCACCAAGTGTAGCACATTTGAGGATGGTCTGCATCATTTGGTTCTGCTTCAGTGGCTTCGAGAGATATTCGTCCATCTGAGCTTGTATACACTTCTCTCGGTCTCCCAACATAGCGTGTGCAGTAAGAGCGATGATCGGCGTCCGACTTAGACCGGATTCCCTCTCGTATTCACGTATCTTACCTGTTGCCTCAAAACCACCCATGACTGGCATCTGCACGTCCATCAGAATGACATCGTACCGATGTTGCTTAACGGCCTCCACGGCTTCCAGACCGTTGCTGACGACGGAGACCTTATGGTTGTGTTTCTCTAGGATTTTAACGGCCAGTTTCTGATTGACGTCGTTATCTTCGGCCAGGAGGATGTCAAATGAACGGGAGTGGTCGGTAGTAATAGGAGTAGAGCGGCCCTCGAGCGCAGGCAACATGCCATTACCGAGATCTATGGGCTGGCATGGTGTGGTCATGTATGAGCTGATTCCAAGGTCCAGGGCTGACTTCAAGCTTACGCACACCAACGGGCAGACCAGGACAATAGGTACGTATTTGAAGTCATCGAAGGTCCGGAGCAACCGTGCCGTGCCAACTGAGTCCACAATGATAACGTCGTAAGCGTGGCCAGACTCCTTGCCTGATGGATCCTGGATCTCCGGGGGCGGAACATGATCTTCGTTACGGACAACTAATGGCTCCAAATCCATCTGCTTGAGCATCTTCATAACATTGTCCGCCTGTGTACCATTCTCCCCCTTATCGATAAAGAGGACGCGGTGGTTCTTGTATGGCAGTAGCTGAGATGCAATGACGTTCAAGGATTGGTCGGCGAGTTTCACGACACAGGTGAAATGGAATGTGCTACCATGGCCATACTCAGACGTAACCCATACATCACCACCCATCAGGTTCACCAAGCGTTTTGAGATAGATAAGCCAAGGCCTGTTCCACCAAACCTGCGCGTTGTCGAGCCATCGGCCTGCTGGAAAGTATCGAATATCAGATCAAGTTTGTCCTCCTCAATGCCGATTCCGGTGTCAGATACAGAAAATTCAAAGGCGTATTCGTTCGCCGCACACTGTTCGCGGTCCGACTTCCGAATCGTGAGCTTGACCTCTCCGTGCTCCGTGAACTTGATGGCGTTGCCCACCAAGTTGAGAATAATCTGACGAAGACGGAAGGGATCACCAGTAACGTAGTCTGGTACTGTGTTATCGACCTGGTAGGTCAGGCTAAGAAACTTCTCATTTGCCTTCACCGCAAGAGTCTTCAGTGCGTTGAAGACGGTTCCCCTCACCGTGAAGGGGATACTTTCGATAACCATTCTGTTCGCCTCGATCTTTGAGATATCTAGTATGTCATCAATGATCGTTAATAAGCTGTTTGCAAGATTATGCACGACATTTAACATCTCGCGAGTATAAGGCTTGAGGTCGTCCGTATCTAACGTCAACTGCGTCATACCGATGATACCATTCATAGGTGTGCGGATTTCGTGACTCATATTGGCCAGGAATTCAGACTTGGTACGGTTAGCAAGCTCAGCTGCTTCCCTGGCAGCGGTGTTTCTCTGAATACTATCCCGGAGGTTGGAAACCATTTTGTTGATCTTTCGCTTCAACTCGTCCATCTCACCAGAAGCATTAACAGTGATAAGCTTGGTGAAATCGCCATCTGTCGCAGCATCTGTGATCTCGCCAAATGCACGCACCTGGGACGTGAGGTTTTCTGCCATGATATTCACGTCCTCGGTGATTTCTTTCCATGTTCCAGCAATTCCTTCAACATTAGCCTGTCCGCCCATCTTGCCGTCAACACCGACATCACGCGCGACCTTTTTCAACTCAGTCGCGAATTTAGCGAGTCGGTCAACCATGTGATTGATTGTGACCTTGAGCGTCAAAATCTCTCCCTGAGCATGCACTTCAATCTTCTTGCTGAGATCACCCTTGGCAATGGCTTGAGTGACATCTGAGATACTCCGTACCTGCGATGTCAGATTCTGGGCCATAGTGTTGACGTTATCGGTAAGATCCTTCCATTTGCCCTCAACGTTATCCACCTTAGCTTGACCACCAAGAGTACCGTCCGTGCCGACCTCGCGAGCGACTTTGCTGACTTCAAAGGCAAAGGTGTTGAGTCGGTCCACCATGCCATTGATCGTACTCTTCAAGTCCAGTATTTCACCTTGGACATTCGCAGTAACCTTCTTAGTTAGGTCACCCTTTGCTACGGCGGTAGTGACATCAGCGATCTCTCTGACTTGTGTCGTCAAATTGTTGGCCATTCGGTTGACATTCTCGGTCAAATCCTTCCATGTACCCTCCACATCATTGACCGTGGCTTGACCACCGAGGACACCATCTGTGCCGACCTCCTTAGCAATCTTCGTGACTTCCTGTGCAAATTGTCGCAATTGATCCACCATGGAATTGATGATGTTCTTCAGCTCTGCAATCTCTCCTTTACAGTTCGCCTGGACCTTCTGTGTCAAATCACCTTTGGCGACCGCTTTCGTGACTGTAGCGATATCCCGCACTTGGGTGGTCAAATTGTTCGCCATGGCGTTGACATTAACCGTGAGTTCGTTCCACATGCCTTTTACTCCATCAATCTGAGCCTGTCCACCCAGGACACCCTCAGTGCCGACATCACGTGCGACGCGTGTAACTTCTGTGGCAAATGTACGAAGTTGATCCACCATGGTGTTGATGGTCTGCTGTAGTTCCAAAATTTCACCCTGGGCCCGACTTTCAATCTTCTGGCTCAGATCACCATGGGCGACAGCTGTTGTGACCACAGCAATCTCACGCACTTGGTCCGTGAGATTCTTGGCCATGATGTTGACGTTTTCCGTAAGCTCCTTCCAGATACCATGGACCCCTGTGATCTGGGCTTGGCCACCAAGGATGCCTTCCGTTCCGACCTCTCGTGCGACTCGAGACACCTCACTACCAAACACTTGCAGCTGGTCCATCATAGTGTTGATCGTCCGTTTGAATGTAGCGATTTCGGGGTCCATCTCCAGGGGATGAATCTGCACCTTCATTGACAGGTCACCGTTAGCGACCTGGGTGATGATGCCACCGATCTCCCTTAAGGCCTTCTGGAAAGCTTCGTTGGCTTGCTGGTGTTTGCGAAGCTCCCGCTCCAGCAGGACGACATCCTCGTTTTCAACCTTGGTCAAAGCCCGTCGCGTTTGCTCCTCCTGCTGTAGTAATTCATCACGCACTTGGGCGATAATATCTTTCTGAAAACTTATTTCCTCCGCCTGTTTCTGAACATGGTTTCGTAGATAACTGATGTCTTCCTCGCGTACCAGTCGAGTCCTCGAGTCCAGGTCTTCATCTTCGTCGCTCTCCTCCTCCTCAATATCCTCATCGGGCTCTTCTATCCGCCTTGGGTGGTGGGGTCTATGGGAGTTTTGCTGCTGTAGTGTGGAAGAGAAGTTAGAAACTTGCTGGGACGACGAGCGAGAAAGTCCAAAAGACCACAAGAAGTCAGCTTCCCTCTCAGTAGAGCTGAGGGAAGACTGGGAGGATTCAGGGAAAGTTCCGGGGGAAGTCGGGTGACTGACAGCTTGTGATTCCAGTTGTTGAACTCGACGGACTAACGCCTCCAACTCATTTTCAAAGGCCGCCTTTGACGAACTTGCATCTCCCGGTAGCTTGGTGAACTTGGTGTCGTAGCCATTAGAAGAAGCGTGCGATAGCGGAAATTCAAAGGGAGGAGCGGAGCCGGAGCGAGGGGTTTCGCGGGCAAGACCCCGAAGGATGGCAGCAGCGGCCGCGAGCGTTTCGTCCGCGCCAGCCATTGTGCCTAGGACGACTCAATCACAAACGGGACATAAGTAGTGTTACTGTGAAGAATTTTCTTGTTCTCCTTTCGCTCGTTGCAAAATTCGTCTAAATATGAAAACACGGAGAATGAGACGCTATCCCAAAAGAAAAATGATTCCGGTCCAGTTGATAGTTTTAAAGGGAGGGCAACACAAAGGAAATCCAGCAGGGGAAAAAGAAGAGGAAAAAGGAGTGAGGCGTATTCCAGATGATCGGGATCAAGGGACGAGTCTATATGATAATGCCCGGATAGTGAATAGTCAAAGGGGGGGGAAGATATTAACGATCACCAAAAAGATAGAGTCGATGAAGAAAATGGTACAGGGAATATAAAAAAAAAATATTGAAGGGAAAAGAAAAAGAAAAATCACCAAGTAACTATCGGTTGGTGATTGGGTGAAGGACAGAGGGGGAGGGAAAAAGAAAGTGGTATGGAGAGGACGAGAAAGAGGAGCAAAAGCAGCGTGAAAATTAAACGATGGGGTAAGAAGAGGACGATCCGAAGGTCGTTGAAGATGAACCTAACCTACCTGACGGGAAGCCGTGTTACTGACACGAATGATCGGGCGAATCTGCTAAGTCGACATGGGGGTGTCCTTGTGGAGAGCGAGCAGTCGAAAATGGTCCAGGGTTCCGACGGTGTGTTCGAGGATTAAGGCGAAGGGACAAAGCAGCAACCGACCGAGCAGACAAAGACCGTCTTGTCTGGGCGAGGGAAAGCAAAAAAAAAAAGAGAAATTAAAATAAAAAAAAAGAAGAAAAAGGAAAAAGAAAAGGGTGACGGTCAGTCGAAGGGAAAACCCACTGAAAAGGGGAGGTAGGATTATCGAACGGAGGTTGAGACTCTGGTTGTGAGTTTGAGCAGTTGGTTCAGTGGAGAGAACGAGAGAGATCAGTAAGCGTAAGTTTTTGGTTCTGTTTGGTTTGGCTGATTTCCTTTTTCTTTTTCTTTTCTTTTTTTTTT